ATGGAGAAAAATCCATAGTGAGAAACTCCAGAATTTATACCTTCACTAAATCTTCTTCATCTTTCTATTTCCTAGTGACCCTACAGGTCTTGGAGGACATTATTGTAGTTTTCGAAATAATTTCTTTGAGTTTAGGCAGGTCTCGTTTGACAGAAAAGCACAACACAGAATGACGAGCACAAACTTCTGTGTTTCAAGTGAGATTCGAACTCACAGTATCTGTATCCAAGGGACCAAGACCCATGCGCTAGATTGGGCAGCTACTGGGATTGGCAACAAATCCTATTAGGATAACGAAATCAAAGAAGATAAGATGGACGGAGCATGTAGCTCGTACGGAGGAGATGATAAATGCTTACAAAATCTTGACTGAGATGTTTAAAGGAAAGAGGCCACTCGGAAAACCTAGGTGTAGATGGAAGGATTATATTATGTGGATTTTTAAAGAAATAAGATGTGAAAATGTGGACTGAATTTATCTGGCTCTGCACAGGGTCTAGTTTCGGGCAGTTGTGATCGCGGTAAGGAATTTCATGACTAATTGTGCGACTGTTAGCTTATAAAGAAGGGCTTTGTTTCGTGCTCATTATGAGTCAGTCATATGGAAAGGAAACAGGACGGACGTAGGTTGCCACAATGAGATCATTGAACCTTGTAACAACAGTAATAATGTTTTATTTCCGTGTATGAAAAACACTTAATTCGTGCCAACGTCTGGTGGTTGTTTCGAGGGGGTGAGCAGTCCTGGTGGGGGTCAGCTTTTACACGATGGCTGGAATTGCAGCTACTCTAGCCGCCAGAGCTGAAGGGGGATGAACCTGTTCAAACAAACAATGTTTTGTTGTCACATGTTGCAAAAGTCACATTTCCTGTATGAGCAGAGATCTCTGTATTATTTTCTGTCTTAGCGGCGTGTGGACAGTATAAAAGCTTCCAAATTAAAATTATGTCTTCTGGGATGTTGAGCCGTGTTCCGGCTTTTGAGAAGTGCTTGTTGCCTCTATCATCATGGCGATGTCATTGCCCTGATGATGGAGTTAGAAAAGTAAGTATCGCTTTTGAGTTCAGGCGGAATTTCATTTTCGCACCACGGTTCATCATTCTTACTTAAACACGGACAATTTTGCCATAATATTTACCTTAACAGTAACCAGAACACTCTCTTATACATTAGCTTAACCGTGTGTATTCTATTTATACCTTGACAACAAATGTTAATATGTTTGTAGGCCGAATCCATTGAAATGAAATTCTTTAATCTGGTAATTGTCATCTTATTAGGTTTTCCGATCAAATTTTTGTAATGAACACCACGAAAACTATGTTTCCTGCCCATATCATCTTCCTTAATTAGCTCACCCGATTTTTATTGGTTGAGTATATATAATGAAGATACTTCGAAATTATCACAATTTTACTATTTATTTCCCTGTCAACTAATTACATATATCTGTAGAAACATTTTGTTCTGCATGGCGCATGGACGAAAAGTCTGGTCTTGTTTAATATATTTCGTGAAATTTTTTCAAAAATTCCACTATACTATTTTTTCGTGACATTGAAAAGAACTGTAGCTTATACTTACAGAGTACGCAGGTGCGATTCCTCCAGGTGCAGCTGCGTAAGCTGCAGGCGCGTAAGCTGCAGGTGCTGCTGCGTAAGCCGCAGGCGCGTAAGCTGCGTAGGCTGCAGGTGCAGCTGCATAAGCCGTAGGGGCAAGCAGTGGCGCAGCCAGGGCTCTGGTCTGTACGTTCACAGCAGCTGCGAAAGGCGGTATATTATATGGCACTGCACGTGCATACGCTGCTAAAGCAGCTGGGGAAGCTGCGTATGCTACGGGTGCAGCGACGCCCGGTGCGCTCTGAGTGCTCTGGGCGTTCAACGCAAGCACTACGACCAGGACTGAGATCTGGAACAAAGACATATGTTATCATTCTATGAAACTGAATAGGTGACACGTTCGTAATTGATGGAAATGTACATAATTCTGTATGTTATTAATGTTATTTTTATTTTAGACACGGAAAGATAAAATACTTTTATTATTAAGTTTATGAATTTATCTTACTGCTACAGCAGCAATGCCCTAGATTTGTATTCATGAGACATCCACTTAGAACCTCGGCCTGGTGAACGGCGTTAATGTGAGATTGTAACCAGTCTCTCCAGCGGAATGTCAAATTACTACCTTTAAATGTACTTCAGTAGTTTCACTACAAATTGTTATCAGCTCACAATTAATTTTATTCCTTCGATCTCACCGGACGGAATATAATATCCGAAGCTGAAACAGCGTCTGTAATTAACTTATAAATCAATATCACTTCACGAGAGACCCTTTTGAAATGTTGTCAATTCTTATAGTTACAATTAATGTTAGGAACACATAAAATACTAATAAAATTGTTATTATTCCTATTTGCTGCAAGTAAATTATTATAAAAATAAGCCTATGCAAAAGGTGAGTTAAAAAAGATAAGTAGTTTATATATAGTGCGAACAGTTTGAATTTGATTTTAAAAAGTACCTTCTGTGAAACGTTACCGGGTAGAAGTTGAAATAGTGTCCCGTATTTATTTTTTTTATTTGTAAATATTTCAAATAATTTTCTAAAGGTATTTTGATTATAAGAAATTTAAGGGCTTTCCTAATAACTATTTATCAACAAAAACAATTGCAGTATCAATATATTTGTTCTTTGAAATGTCATTGGTAAACTCACCATGCTGAAGCAGTACATGGTTATTTTGACGTGTTGGCTCTCTGTGTGTGGGATCAGAAAGTGTGTGTGCCGCTTACAGATACGAGAGAGTGTTATATACTCGTGAAAAATGTAGGGGTGTTCTTTGGGATGTGCCCAAAGAGAACTCCAGGGAGGGGAGAAATTTCTTCCAGCATTATAATATTGCATCACTGGTCATAATGTTGCGTGTAGTATGGGTTCATGTCGTCTGTAGATAATGCAATAAGTATGTAGATACTGGATTTCTATGATTCTATGTGAAATATTAGAGGTTATTTTAACTATATTACATGCTAAAATGAGATAATATAACGACATATAATGAATGTGGCAATAATTACAAATTAGAGATGACAAAAGTCGCGGATTTAACCTCAAGTTACGAATGATACCTTGACGTAGACGAGATAACAATATTAAAATAAGTAGTAGATAAATAGGATGTGAAGCCGTGGATACAGTAGTAGGCTTACGCGAGTAATGTGAAAATTTTATGTTTCCAAAAAAGCAACGGTAAGCTACTACCCTGTTACACCTCGTGATGGAGAGTTCCAGCTTCGAATCTCGTCCAGGACACCAGTTGTCATAACTGACGTGTTTGTGGTTTCTCTCTTTGTCTACAAGAAAATACTGAACCAGTGTCTTAAACATGTACATCGATCTTTTTCTTTCTACACATTTCCCAGTTGGTAAATCATAATCACTTGTCTATTTCGTGTTCTCTAACGGAAAGGGCTGGAATATCGACTTCAGTTGATGGAAGAAATCAACAGGACAGAATCCTTCTTGATGCTCCCGCCTTCGATGGAACTCGAAGATCCATTACCGTGTTCACAATATCTCGGCTCTGTTCTGAGCCACGTGAGTCTTGACCACACCAACTTATCGTATTTATTTAAGCCCCAGTTTAATATTATCCTCATCTCTACGCCTCGATCTTTCAGGTTGTCTCTTCACATTTTCCGACATAGTTCGCTACTCGTTTCTCATCTGTCCCATTCCTACTTCGTTTTATTACCTTCTTACTATTTGGTGAGAAGTTCAAATTAAAAAGTTCCTCACATGCTATCTTTTAGATATTGATATTTTTCTCAGCATTCTTCCTTGATTTTCTGGATCGGTATCTATCACAAAATGCGTCTAAATAACCATCGAAGGTTGTACTGGTTTTTGAAGTTCCTTTATTGTCCGAGGAGCATACAATTTATTTGCAGAGATGATTGAATGCTTTAATCCTCCAAGTCGTTTCTTATGCCACTTTCATTACATAGTCTTTGTTGGCATTGCACATAAGTGACAGTGAAATCTCTCGTGTGCGTGATAGTGATTTAAAATTTCATCATTGGCACGAGCGTAGATGGAGCGCACGGTGCTAAAAGGAATGTCTCCATCAGGACATGGGCTTACTCTCAACATGTCCGGGATTTGTAATCTATTTCACGTTTAAGGAATATTTTAACCTTCTACTTCCACGTTCAAAGAGTTTAATTTAGTTTGAATATGCATTTACGTTTAGATTAAGTAGCTGGTTTGTAATTTAGTAGATCGTGTAGTTAGTTTCTTAGGTTTATATTTAGTTCGTGAGGTTTGAGGTTTGTACGACGTGGATAGGCCGGTGAAACAGCAGTGATTTTACCGACAATTGTTAATCTGTCGGCGTCAATTTATACAACACAATAGTGTACAAATGTAATTATCACTGTATTCTCTAAACATGATTGTTTTTAACAAATTAATGCCTTTATGAGGTATTAAATGCGAAGATAACATTAAAGGTTGTTCCTAATTACACAAGTGTCTCCAAAAGAAATCGAAAGTGAGAGATAATCGTTAAATGTAAAATAGCAGTTTTCCCAACTGAGTAAAAATACAAATAATATAGAGGTAACTGAAGTTTGAGAATACCAGGGTGAGAAGAGATGTTGTACAGAATTAATTTTCCTTTATTATGTTCCTCTCGCCATTATAAAACAATAGAGCGCCTAATTTAATCTTTTTGTATTGCTAACCTGCTTCTATAAAGAAATGTCTGCTTAGTAACAGAATCGCCAATGTCACTCTCACTAGCTCGCCATTTAAATGCGTGCTGTAAAACTATGCGAGACGCACGTGGAAGAAAGTGAGAGTTATTGGCGCAGGGTGCCATGTTTGTTGGGTGTTTATAGTGAACGACGACTGACCGGAAGTGAAAGCTTTATAACGCTAGTGTTTTGTTTACAACGATTCCTGCTACTTTAATATACGTGAATGTACACTTGAACGTGGTCATGACTCTCCAGCCTGTCACAAAGTAAGAACGACGGTTAAAAATAATTACGAGTTCGTTTCACGATGCGTATAAAATGAACGTAACAGTGCCTGTCCTGTATATCCGTCTGTCCGCACGTTTCTACTAGAATTTTGATTAAATTAGGTAAGATGTGTTATGCAATTGGAAAGCCATGTAATGCTAATAGCATGGAGAACGCGCAAAATCGTGATATGGAAGCGACGGGATTTTTAAATTATTTGTTTGTGTGAGGCTGTTTCTATGTGGAAATAGGCCATTAACGTTTACATTTTCTTTCCCCCAGATGATATATGAGCGTATAAGGTGCTGTGGTTGAATGGGTTTTACATGGGATAACTGAAAAACTATTCCCACTACTAATTCTACATTGACTGCCATGGGACCAAATCGGGGCCTACGCCGTGAGAGGACGGCGGCTAACCTGAGCTATGGAATTTCTCTGTATTTATGTACGAAACTTTCATTAAACTTATAACATGTACAATATGAGGGTTAGTCTTCTGGGTTGTTGCGCCGTGAGGTCTGGTAGATATTTACCGACTTTTCAGAGCCTGATGATGGAGGCGGCGAGGACCCATGAAACGTTGGTAAACATCTATTGGTCTGCACGACCTTACAACCCAGAAGACAGCCGTCTTCGTATGAACCCAGTCCACTTACTCGAATCCTATTTCTTTGCAACTATAAGAACTCTTTTTTATGCATGATCGAAAAATGCGATTTCATTTGGATGTGTTCAACTAATTTAGACAGATTTAAATTAATAGCACTCACTCTATGCTGATCGATTGAACGCGATGGGAAGGAGCGGAGTACAGTGATAATGTAGGTGGCTGATGAGTAATTCAAGGAAAGAGGGACTTTTATTTTTTATGCGATTTCACCCTCTGCCAGTTTTCTTTGGAACACAACTGTCACATTAATTGAGGAGTACTTGTATTTTATATTAGGGGCTATACTTTTCAGTGAATCTGTCCTGTAGACATTGCATGTTCTGGTATATTTCATATAAATTTTCTGTTGCGTTGGTCGTTTTAAAGAATTTTGTCTCTAACTCCCAGGGCTGTTTAACAGTTAGCTATTTGCTGTTATTTCGAACTTCGAAAGCTTCTGATGATGCTGCGTTTTGTGGAAAACTGTTCGTATGAAATCATCCATTGTCTGAATTATAAAATCACGAGGTCGGAAGCTGGAATTTGCTTTCGTCATCAGGCAAAATGGAAAAGAGGGTAGAAAGCCTATCTCTTAGACCTCCTTACTGAGGTGGTCTCAGACCAGACCCAGTTTTGCCTTCTTCCTTCTCTTTACCTGATGATGAAAACGCAATTCAGCTTTCGAAAATTTATAATTTAATAATTTAAACGATGGAAAAAGTCCAATAGGACAATCTTACACGTGTCAGTTTTTTCTCTGTGACTACGCCCAACATTTAAGTCGGAGGACCACCCTTTGTCGGCTGTCTTCCACTCGTTAACCTTCACAGTAAACGTTCAGTTTGTTTTTGAGGGCTAAGAAACTTAATAACAAAAATAAAACTATTATTTCGAATGTAAAGCAAGTCTTTATTTATCATTTATCACACAAAATGTCGTTGGTTGACTTAAAAGACAGAATTGTACCATATTCAGCTTGAGGCATTTATACATTTCATTTTAGAAGAACTGGTGCATGCGCGTATGCAGCATAAGCAGGGGCAGCGGCGTAAACAGGGGCAGAGTATGCAGCTGCAACCACCGGTGCTGCCAATGCGTTGAATCGCTGGGCGACCACCTGCGAACTATGGGCGGTTACCACGGCTGGTGCAGGGGCATAGGCCACCGGAGCTGCGGCGTATGCAGCCACGGGGGCGGCTGCTAGAATTCCAGGCGCAGCTGTCACTGAACTAGCCGCCAAGGCGACGAGCAGGAAGCACTGTGCATAAGATTAAGATATTGTTATCAGCCCTGCGAAATGATAGAACATTAATCTGTGTGCAAATGTAAGAGGATGGTCATTAATATTTTAATATCACATGAAATTGGAGTGTACCAGGGAAGAATACACAGTTTGCTGTATAAGAAATTATAGAAGTGGGTTAGCATGGATAAAGACTGGTATTTGGAAACTGTGAGTCACGAGAGGATTTAAAAAAGGGTGATGCCATCTGCGTAAGGAGAAGAAAAATATTCAGATACGATTATAACTTTCAGAAACGATTAAACGGAGGGGTCAGTTTGTGAGTAGGACATGGCTTATCGTTAGTGACGAGGCAGCTTCAAGGGGATGCTAAAGTGTACTAACGCTGTAGAATTAAGAAATATAGAAACATACCTGTATAAAATTATATGTAAACCGGGTAGAGTAGGTAATTTGAAATAGGGAAGTGGGATTATAATTATAGTAAAAGAATAAATATTGTATAGTAGAAAAATGGTACAACTAGGCATTATATTAGAGCTGTGGACCGCAAAAGCCCAGTATTCTGTGTACAGAATTGAACGTGGTAAATAATTAAGTTATATCAGTATTATAAAATATGTCTGGCACTTCCGTTATTCACACTCTTCGTTAATAGTAACGTATACCGACGGTGACGATGTCAAGGTATAAATAATATTGTACATTAGTCATGTAAGCGTTATTATTTAATCATCTGATGTTTTATACGTCACATTGTACATGTCGATGCCCACTGGTAGAAACCCCGAGCGGATGTAAACAGACCGCAGCACCATTATCCGCAGTCGGTAAACTTATTTGCTTGTCCGATAGTATTCTATCACGCTGAGAGATTTACCGTGTTGATATTCCTGTTAGAACTGTGTTATATTGGGTTAGAAGCCAATACTAACATTATATGAATTATCTGTGACTCTGTGGATTGGATTCAACTAGCTCAGTACAGGGTGTATTGGTGGGATTTTGAATACTGTAATGAATATTTCGGCTCTACGAAAGACGAGGGATTTCTTGACGAACTCAGCGACTATTAGCTTCTTGAGAAGGGCTGTCCTCCATGAAGTTGGTTGAGCTGCGTGTTGCGTGTTGCTCCTGAAGCCGAGATGAGTGCTATGATCAGCTCCTACATCCTTGCCTATAGGCCATTTATTATATACTCACCTCATGACGTTGCTTGGCAGTTGGAAGTACGTACTTAAGTAGGATTTGAGGTTTTTGCAGCGGTGAGTCTGAAGACGTTCTGGGTTGTTGCGCCGTGTTGTCTGGTAGAAGTTTATAGACGTTTCAGAGGTCCTTTGCGCAACAACCCAGAAGACAGCAATATACGTCCTTAAGTAATTTTAGGATAAATTTATACCAGCTGTTATTGGCAAAGAGTGTACCTAGATATGTTGTCTTAATTTTTTCAGAAACAATTATTTGAGAATCGGAGTTGATCCCCCTTGGGTAATATAAACTTACCAGTCTGAAGAACATGGTCTCTGTGTGGATGGTCCTCTTGAAGAGAAACAATTTGAATATGATGCCTTGCTGTTTCAGTGGTGATGTTTATATATCGTCTCCAGATACTCCTTTGTTACATCAAGTGTCCAGCTAGCCAATGTTACGTCAGTTTACCATAGTAACATCCGCGTGAGTCGAATTGACAATGGAGTCACACTGGCGTCATATTCTGTGACAGAGAAAGCCTCGAATACCCTTCTGTTGCGTCATCTCCATGTTACGCGTAGGACATTGTTACGTAAGGGGTGAATCTGATTACAATGCTGAGAGCTATTTCCAGATTCCTATATCTGAATTTTAACAACACATCAATATGTCTGAATGCGAAGAGTGTTACAAGGAAGCTATTTTTATTTAAATAATGGATTTTTACGTCAAGTCTTCTATATGTAATGGGATTAAAATAGAGTACAGTTCCAGGATTCTTTGCTCTGTAATTTGTAGCTAATTTTGTTATTGATTCATATTTTTAAAACTCTGTGTGTGAAGAGACCACTTTGAATAGGTTAAGATATTTCCGTCATTTATGGAACCCGATTACTGTGTTCGCAATAATTTGCCAGTTCTTTAAAATGTATCACGGTAAACCTCTCATCTATGCCTAGATCTCTCAAATGTTCTCACAACTTCAGAATTTGTGATTAAAAATGTGTACTCCATTCTCATTTCACTACTATGCGTGCTGCATGCCTAACCCATCTCCTCGTCCTCAATTTGATGACTGACGGAAGTGGTGGAATGACGATTATGAAGCTCTCACTGTTATTTTCCCTTATCCTCTATTCTGAAACACCATCGCTCAATTTGTAGCCTTCCTTTGTGGTCAAAGAGCGAGTTTCACACTCAAGCAAAGTAACGGGTAAAATGTTTATTTTGTATTTATTAATATTTAGGTTAAAAATCCTTTACAGCACGATGAAAGATTCTGAACTGCTTTGTAATCGGTTAAATAAGTGCCAACTGTTCAAAGAAGATCGTGTTCCGGCCGTTTTAACCCTGGTACACTTTGAACATAATGTATGGTTGTTTTTCACAAATTTGTTGTTCTTCCAGGACTGAAAATTCGGTTATTAAACTTCAATCGTGGAAGTTAAATGATTGAGCTATCCCGTATCATCTGTGATGATATAGTGTCGTTAAATTACCTTCGAACAAAATATTAGACCTAATTAAATCATAATACAATATGTCTGTCCACGCAACTATTTTGTTTTTTATTAAATTGTTGATTATACCAACATGTTTCGACTCAATCAGGATCATCTCCAGTTGGTTACGTACAGGTTGCTATTGACTGTTGGTGCAGATATGATAATACAACATTAAAAGTTGAAATGGTTATACCATTTGATGGAAGTTAATAAAGTTAAATTAAATTTATGTGTTACAAGTCGGTGGATTAGTTTTTGATTTAACTGTTTACCGTAACACGTTATTGTTCTGTTGCGTGTATGAACCAACATTACATTCAGTAAAAGAGGTTTATGTGGGCCAAGAATGAATCTTTTAGAAATAAGCTATGAGTGATTGTGTGGATTAGATTCACCTGTCAGGATATCGAGTAGCGATAATTAAAGGGAGATGGACGAATACGACAATACAATCTTTACTGCCTATATTAGGCTTCAGAAAAATATCTGTTTAAATGACGATCGCCTGGAATTCTTGTATTCAGCGAGATAGTTTACCTCTGGGGAAGGTCAAGATGGGAATATTTTAGTTAATTATACAAGTATCTCCAACTGAAATTCTGTCAGATTCAAGTACAATTACTTAAGGATTATGTGAGGAGACGGAAGAGGAACGCTTTCAAATCATGGCATCGCTATAGAATCTAATTTGAATTTATAAAATCTGGAAACACTCCAGTAAACATGTCTTGTTTGACGGTCTCTGTCCGTATTAGGTAATACAGCTACAACTTTTATGCTGGTTTTTATTTGAATAAACTTTTTTTCTATTACTGTAACTTGAAATTTTTATTCATGAAAAAGACATTTAGCTTTAATTTTTAAGACATTATGTGTGAGAGCTAAATTGCACTGATTTTCAAAACTCTAAATTTGGACCAAATGGCCACGAAATTAAAATAATATATCACGTGCAAAAATTAATAGGATTAGAAAATTCACGGCTGGAAGTCATTTATCCTCTGTCTCCTTAACTAGTGGGTGGAAAAACAAGGGCGTGATTTCATGCCGTGGTAGATACGAAAGCGGTTAGAACGCTGGCCTTGTAATCCTATGGTCTCGGGTTCGATTCCCGGCGGTACCCGAATTTATAACTTGTGTTGGGCAAGGCCGTGGTCTAGGCAACACGGAGTTTTCCTCCGTGGCATCCCAACAATTACTCCATTCACACACAGAAGAAGGCAATGGCAAACCACTTCTGGATCATCTGCCAAGAACGTATATGAACAGGTCCCAGTCCGAGAAAAGGATGGAAGGATCCTGTTCATATGGACCTGTCGTCAGACAGAACACTAAATAATAATATAAGATGTCAGTAGCTCGTGGCTCTGTCGAAAGCTCACATTATAGCCTTAATGGAAAATAGAAAGATCTAGTAATTTAACAGAGATTGTGGTTAAAAAGGAAACTTTAAAAGTTAAAAAGGTAAGTTTTTTCCTAATCACAATGTCCAGGTGGAAATCTGTTTGAGTTTGTAGTTAATTAGGAAATTATCTTAGAAATATTTTTTGTTTGTTTGCATCGGCACTGAATTTATTTTCGCCCTCTGGTACTTGGGACACATCGAAAACTGTATCATTACCTTTATCAAACTGAAGTACATGTTTTAAATTTTGTATTTTTGTCGTTTTACTACAATACCATCAAAATTTAATCCCCACAAGAATACAAGATCTAACTAACTAACTAGATGTCTTAAGGAACCCGATGGTTCATCACCGAACTAACCAAAGCCCTCCACCGGTCCCTGTCCTGGGCCAGCCAAGAATATGAGCTGGTTGCTAAAACATTACATTATATTTTAAGTGTTTCCTGATTGTAGTCATGGTAACAGATTATTGTGGTTGGTTTAGTTCATCATACTTCATTGTATTTGGGTGGTTTCATAACAACAACAGGACCACCTTTTCAAAATATTGCCCTAGAGAAAATACGTACGAACTTTTAGTTGAAGGGGAAAAGCCACTCGGAAGAACCTAGACGTAGATGTGAGGTTAATATTAAAATGAATCTTTGGCAAGTAGGATTGGAGTGTGTGGATAGGATTCATCTGACATGGGATAAGTACCATTGGTGGGCTTTTGTCAACACGGTAATGAAACTTTTGGTTACGTAAAAGGTTGTGCGTACTGTTTGGTTTTCAAGGTCTCTTGTTCATGGATATAATTTATTTTTAGCTACTTAATAAACAAGTAAATTAACTATTCTGGAAATTGTCCATTCCGACGTAAAGTGCCCTTGTTAAAACCACTTACACCGCTTAATTGTATTTATTACCTTGTGCGTAATACTCTTAAGCAAGGTAGGCTAAGATATTTTATTTCTGCCTCTGAAAGTTTTCATGTACAAGATCTGGTCACACTTTTTACTCTGTATTGTAACCTGGATCGTCTTCAAGTTAAACTGACATTCTGATCGTAAGGTAATGACGGATAATGATGGTGGTTTGGTCTATTACGTTTCGTATTGTCAGCCTTTTGGACTTATTCCATCATTCTGTAGAACACTCGTTTCGGGAACTGGGTCTTCTCTTGTCTTCAGTGAAGGATACCTACTCGTTTGGGCCCGTTAGAGAGAATTAATACAATAACTGTTATTATTAACTGTAACCACGTATTGTGTACATACGTTCTGTTCTAAATGACTCTTAAAACTTCTACTGCTGCTGCTGCTACTACCACTCCTGCTTCTACAGTTCAAAAACTCTGGTCTGTTTAACATCAGAGAGAAATCTAATATGACCCACCTTTTAATCAGGCGACTGATTTGAAATTAACTCTATGGTAGCAAAGTCCGAAGGTTCAGCGCTGCTAGTACTGAAACCAGCCGCTCGACACGATCTTGAGTCAGTTCTGTCAGCCACCCGTCTTCAAAGCCCGCTTTCCTAAGACTCTTTGTTCTCTCATGTTGCCGCTTTACAAGAGATTTTTCGACAACATTTTGTAAGCATTTGTTTCTTATCTGTGTTAAGTGTCGATTCCATCGTAACCTCCTACAACTTGATGTCCTAAGAATATTAGTTGAGTTGTACAAACCACGCAGCGAAAGAAATGTTATGGTAGCAGTAAGAAGAGTGACTGGAGCCGGTTGGTCCAATTCGCATGACGCTCTTGCTACTGCGCAGCGCCGTCTAATTTGAATCGAAGAGTAGATACTGTCCACAGATGACGAGAAAATCCCTGCAAGGGGAAGTCGTTTCTGGTCGGTGCGGAGGGAATTTTACTTATCAGCTGGACTAGAGGGCTGCTATTGGTGGGAAGTGTGACACGCCATAGTTTTACGCTACTACACACAGACTGAAAACATCAAGCAGTTAAGAGTAGCGTGTAGTGAGTGCACCTCTAATGTGTTCTGTGGGCGTTGTCATAATATTCTAGATTAAATAACTTTGCCACTGTGAGGTAATCTTAAAGCTGTATCCATTAGAACACATGAGAGCCTGTCTGTTGTTCGTTCAGTGGTTGTGGAAAGAATGCTTTTAGGATGGGTCGTCACTCACCGCGAAATCTTGCGCATGCGTGTTTAACGAATTCCTAGCAGGGATTTTCTCCTGGTCTGCGGACTGTAGTTAACTTACAGTAGTCGAACCGAAAAGGCGCGCTTAGTCTACATCACCATCTTGAAGGTATAAGACAAATAAACCAAATAAACGTATATACTACGTAAACCGAAAACCACCTGAGACAGCGAGGTACAGCCGCTAGGAAATTATGTTTGTAGCACGAACAGTAAATGCTTCCTTATATGCTACCCCTCTGATTAACTTTTTTACTTCTAGCGGACGTAGGACGCACGGTCTTGTCCCCAGTACTTGAGTAGTTATGCCAGGCATTATGGACTGAAGCGGTTTTGGAAATATGATGTTACGCCCCAAAATAAGAGACCTATGAATCATATTGTTTGTTGGTGGGTCTGGATAAAAGTACGATTTAACTCTTTCAAAAATAATAAAAATACATTTACTACACGTAGTAAGATGCGTTTATTTCTGTACAAAACATTTTGAAATGGAGTGACGTGGTGAATGTGGTGGATGAGTTAGAAGTAATGGCCACCATACAATCCGTGGTAAGCCAGAGGGTGGCCGTACGTTTTCACCAAGGGAGCTGCTACGACGGGGGCAGCGTAAGCTTTAACCACTGGTGCAGCAATAACTGGTGCAGCGTAGGCCAGGGGGGCTGCGTGGATGGCAGGGGCAGCGTAAGCAACTGCCGGGGCATGCAGGTAGCCGGGTTTAGGGGCTGCAGCAGCCAATGTCAGAATGACAGCAAGAACAATCTGAAACCAAAACGAAAATACAAATTAAAGTGAAACAGGAGACTGAGTGGCTGATTGATGACGCAGCCCTACGCTTGTTTAATGATGTCTTTAGGTTGTAGCGCCGTGAAGTCTGGTAGAAGTTTGTCACGTTTCAGAGGTCCTTGCTGCCTCCATAATCGGAGTTATGATACCTTGATGGAGGCAGCAAGGACCTCTGAAACGTTGGCAAACTTCTACCATACTACAAGGTCCCACACCCCAGAAGACAGCGATCTTCGTACTCGCCGATGTGAGAACCTCAAATCCTACTCAACACTGGAATTTACTTTTATTCAGACGATAAACACTTCTCTGTTAGAACGTTTCAAATTTAAATCATAGTCTAATATCACTTCGATTACATTCTTGTAAGTTGCTTGTGGTTGGAGCTTTACGTGTGCACGATGTGGAACTACCCATTTCGAAATATCGACCGGGACCGACATTTTTAACATTGTGTTGCTTTCCCATTTTATTAAATAATGTGCCTTGATTCAGGCCACGACCACTTGTCCATATTATTCTCTATTTATCTTTAAAATTGTTTTCCAATTCGAATATATTCAGTTGACTAAGTATCATAAAACAAACACAAATAATACACCCTCTGTACCTTTATGTGTAAAAACCGTTTTAGTATTACACTCTTAACTCATCTTCGCTTTGTGAATGGTTTTACCACCAAAATTTTAATACATTTCTTGCAAACTGTAATCTGCTAAAGAACTTAATTATTATAAATTAAATAATGGCGCAATCTGAGAAGTAAGAACTTGCAAACACGTCCCTAGATTAACTCTAGAAAAATCTACCTTTAACCATTTATTAGTGCCACATATGAGACATATTTAATAGACGTAACTTTGGAATAATTTTGAGATTTAAATGAAAGGTTTTACAGAAAATCTTACATTATTTATTTTGTCTTATTATATTATTAATATAAATCTATAGGTGCTAACTTACAAGCTTGAACATGGCTGTGTTGTTTGTGGTCGCTTGCTACCTCAGTGCGGACTTGTGTTGAGATATTATTACTGTATCCTCGGTATTGAAGGGGGCTTATATAGTACAGTAACGTTCCAGTTATAGACGAGGAGGGGGACATAGATTTGTAAGAGGAAGCCACTATGATGTGGCCACGGTCAAGTTGGAAATGATCCCATACCGCACTGATTACCTGTAGCAGTGACCCAAGCGACAAACATTTGTTATATTCTGTTATCCGTCAAAAGCAATTCTTTATTTCGAAGTACACATTGTAATATTTCAATATCCTGAGTTACACATTCCAGTTATGTTATCCCATAAGCAGACTATTGTTCTCACACTACATATGCATGGAAATTACTTACTGTAACTTATAATCACATTTAACCCTTTGAAACCGGAAGCTAGATTTCTAAATATTTAAGATTTCTGTGCGTACCTCAAAGAAAATATGAATACCAATTTGTTAATTCTGTTTGAGGAAATTATCGTTGCTTACTCTGTGAATCCCACGTAGCAATAATTAATTCTGAGGGAAAGATACATGGTTGATGTTAGACAAGTTTATATATAGGTACCACTGTGCTTTATAGTAGTAATCCTAAACGTTTTAAATTTAAAAGTGATATTATTAATGTATTGTTTCATAATCATAACTTCGTATTAACGAAGACTTAAACATCCCGAAGAGCAGTGGTTTAAATACTGAGAAGTGTCCTGTTTATCTGTGGTCTGAAAGCGCCGTTGAGCCGTCGCACCTTCCCGTATAGTGGTGTAGCCATCTCCGATATATTGCTGAGACCCGGTTCAGCGATAGACTGTCCACTTTGTTATATTGGCGAGAATCTTTGAATGAAAGAGTAACAAAGTAATTAAAAAATATACCTATATAATTATGATATTACTCATTTGAACATCACGTAATCTTGTTTGGGTGACTAATTCAAATGGATGGCATGGAATATTTGGCTGTGTGTTTAAACAAGTGAAGTGAAGAATAAATCATTCACACATTTTATAAGCATCATGGACGGTAACCTCTTGGGAGACATGTGTAGAATTGATAATAATATTAAAATGGGTCTGAAGTAAATATATTGTTCTTGATCAGAATAGTGTTACGTAGACAGATTTTGTGATGAGGGTGATGAATTTTCGGTTTCAAAATTAGAGAATTTATCAGTCAGTTTAGACAATAAAGATTCTGTTGCATGGTGCCAGATAAGAGAAAATAAAACATTTTTATGGTGAGGAATTAAGAGTTGTACAGAATGAAATGATCCGGGATAGCTCAGTCAGTATAGTGACTAGCTACGGGCTGGACGACCGGGGTTCGATCCCCGACGGGGGCAGAGGATTTTTCCTCTAGCCTCTGC